GGGGGGGRAAAAAAGCCCAAGCCCTTTGGCTGCCTTTTAGGCGCTTTGTTCTTTTCTCTTGTTAAATATCTATTCTGAGTGGCTTTATCCTGTTTTGTTCTGGCAAATGATTTTTGAAATGTCAGAACTTGAAGCCTCTTTTGTCGTGGCTTAAGCGCTTCCCCTGCACATTGAAGGAGACCCGCATGTGCAAGACATGAACTTCTCCTGCCGTCAGAGCCACGTTGGCTTTGATGGGAATTGGAGAAGGGGGGAGGAAACGCCATGCATGCAAAAACCCAAACAAAATCAGGCGAAGCCGTCAAGGCTGGTCACGTCTTATATTGACTGCAATGCAGCGAAGCAGAGGGCCTGTCCTGCCTCCCTAGGGGCTGCAGGGTCGGTGCTTTCAATAAMTTTTTCCCTGTTCAGCGGGTTGATGCACCTTGCTGCTTACTTTACCTTGGACCCTAAATGTTTCCCTACAGCGGGGGTTTTACTGTGCTCCTGAATGGGAGACTTGACCCAGGACACTTGCAGTGGGGTGATTTTGATTTTGGGAGCTCCATCTCTTGTGGATATCGTGGTTGTTCAGACTTGAATGGATAAACRTGAACGTTTACCTGAGCTGGCCACCTGCTCGTCTGAGCACCCGCGGCGGCTGCACGGGGCAGTTTGCACCTTGATGGGGTGACCCGGGAGCTGCTCCGGGTGTCGCATCCCCCACTCTGCCATTCTGCTGGCCTCTTTTCTGTGGTGGCCACTGATAGAACTAGAGGAAATGGCCACAGACTGAAGCACTAAAAGTTCCACAGAAATTTCAGGAAAAATTTCTTGACAGTGAGGGTGACAGAGGACTGGAACAGGCTGCCAAGAGAGGTTGTGGAGTCTCCTTCTCTGGAGACCTTCAAAACCCGCTTGGACGCAGTCCTGTGCCATGTGCKCTAGATGACCCTATGTGTGCAGSGGGGTTAGAATAGACSATCTCTAGAGGTCCCTTCCAACCTTAAGGATTCTGCGATTCTGTGATTCACTGGTGTTCCTTAAAAGCCTGAGTTGTGGAAAGGACGTGTGGCTGAGGCTTGTGACAAAGCAAAGGYATTCGAAACGGCTCTGGCTCGGAAAAAAAATGTTTGCTCTGGGTAGTTTCTGAAAGGATTTGATGTTCAATCTGCTCCTTTTCAGCTTTTCAAGATATTTTTGATAATTGCATGCCGGCGACTTTTGAAAGTTGTGCTATATGTATCCATTCTTTGAAAATAAAGGAGAAAAATATGTGTAAAGAGGCTTTGAAAGCTTCAGAATTTTAGCTTTCAAAATATTTGTAAAACTCCTTTTCCTGTTATTTTTTTCTTAGGCAAGCTATGGAAAGGATCAAGGTTGGGGTGTTTGTTTGTTTTTATCTTGAGTAAGTGAGGAGAGTGATGAGAGTATCTAAGAACATGTCTGGCAATCTTACTTGTCTGAGCTGTGACACACTCAGCTTCAAAGATGTGAGAAATTTCCTTGCTGGAAAATCTCCTCACCTCTCTCCCTCCTGGAAAGAAAGGAAAGTATTTAGAATTAAGGATAACATCTGATTTTTTGCCTTTTTTTTCTTCAGATTAAAGTGGAGAAGCCTCTATTTGACTGATTTGCTTCAGTTCATTTCAGTCTGGCTGTATTTTAAATAAAAGTGGGGTTCCTTAAGAAGCAATTCAATCATGAACTGGTGTTGCTTCTTTTCACTGTGTGGAGACAGAGGGTGTTGTCTGTCCCTATAGCTCAAAATGTGTTTACGTGTTTCTCAAGCCTCACTCATTATTTGGTAATTTCAAAAATGCAAAACGAAGATTGACAGGGTATTACATAGATTTATATATGTAAATAATTAACAGCCCCAATGGGTGCATGACGCATTTCCATTTGGTAAAATAAATCAGTAGTAATTATCATTAGTACTTAAGGATAGCTTTAAATATTCATGAAAAAGAATGAGAATTAAAAGAAAAAAATACCTGGCTCTAAGAGAATGTTTTGTGCCCTGTATTTCAATATATTCCACTGATGGTGTAGGATTTACCCCATAATTTACTGTTAGGTTGTGTCTGATTGAGCTGTGTCAGGCAGCCTCRGTGTCCGCAGCTTCTTCCTTGCTGTGCACCCAGAAACATCTGGATCTTGCACCTCTACTTTTCATTTGCTTGTATAGTCGATAGTTTGGCCACTTCCATTTTCTAGGAGTGAAAAGAGGCATTTGTGCATGTGCTGTATAAAGAGTATATAGAGTGTAAATTCAGGTACCTAGGTTAGAGATTAGATTTTCATGGTGATGAGATCTCAGCATCTGGTAGAATGAGGCCACTTGCTTGAATGCTGGACTTCAGGCTCCACTTCTTTATGTTTGTCATGGCCAGCATGGTACAGGATGGGGTTTTGCAGGGCTCTTTTTTTAAGCAGCAGTGATGCTTGTTCAAAAGGAAATCAGTAGCTTGCACTCTAGCAGGTTCATAAGCAGTCATTGCTGTGTGCATTCTTTGTTTGTTAKTAAATCTCTTGGCTTTTGTTGAACTAAAAAAGTCATAGGATGTTTAGAATGAGTCCTTCATAAGTGATATAAGCTCTTAAGTTGCATGGAAATGTGCCCTGGGTCTATTGACTTACCGTTCTTGGGTAATCATTAAGAAAGATTTGAGTTTTCTGATGCTAGTTGCAAAGATCACCCTGCTTCCAAACTTTGACCAACGTCCTAGCACTTGGTGGAAGGCTGCCCGTCAGCTCTGTGTCTGCCTGATCTTACACCTTGCCCCTCTTCTTCAAAGATTTCTTTCTCCTCCCATTTTTAGAGGCTTTTGCCTTGGTAACTTCTGCAAAACACTGCTTAAGAGCAGAGGGTTTTGGGCTCCCCTCTGATCTGTGCAGCACTGTTATAGAGGCAGCCTTATAATCAATGTAATTGAAGATCAGAGTTAATGAGGACCTCTGTGCCTGCAAAATCCCCCAAGTGATGCAGGGCCTCAGATGTTAGATAAGGAAATGATTGGGCTGAACTGAAAATCTATTTGGCTAATTAGATGATGCATATTCCCAGTTGCCAGTGGGGAAAAATACATTTCACAAAATAAAGAAACATAAGATTTTGTAAGAAAAGATTTTTTGGCAGGAATTCACTTCTGACTCTCAGGAGGGAGAAAGCAAGGGAGTTTCTTTGAGATGATATTTCTTATATGAGAAGTTTGCAGGGCCAGTTCACTTACCATGAGCCAAGAAAAGTGAGGTGGGGATGGGACATGTGGCTGATGCTCATGAGCGCCCCAGTCCAAAATCCAAGTGTCTCCTGGACACTACTCGCATRAACTGGAGAAGTGAAGCTCCAGTCTTATGGGGCAAAGCAGTTGTCCCCATTTCTGCAGAGAACCAGGGATCAAATTTAGCAACTCAGGATACTTGGTAATATGCGAGGTACCTCAGACAGAGCAGTGTCCCAGCTGATGGGTCACTGGTTGGGTCACATTCACATGGAGGGGACTGTGCAGAGAACTGAAGTTCTTTGGGTCTAAACATTGGGGAATTTAGTATTATTTTCTTGAACTCAGCCTCACACCAGCTCTTGAAGAATAGAATTGCTCTGATATTGGGACACATGTTTTTTCTTCGCAACAGTCTTGAAAGAGAAACCAAGAAAAAAGGGGATGAAAATGGCTTAACAATCCATCAAGGGGTAGGAAGTCTACAGTTTTCCTTGTCCAATTCACAGCATTTTGTAGGAATGGTCTCCATTTTGGTCCTATACATGTCAGGGGAGAGGAGTTCTAGGAATTGACTGATAACGTTAAAGAATCAGTTATGGGAAATGAGGAGAGTTTAATTTGGAAGCTATTGTGTTATATGTGAATTTTTCAATGTCTTATGTAAGAAATCTGTTTCTCCTCCTCATGACATGCTCCCCTTACCTATAAAAATTTTAGTCTCTTCTTACACTCTTCTAAAGCACATTTTTCTTTCCACCTTCCAGGCAGCAGCTTTGTGGTGAGCGAGGGGAGCTACTTGGACATCTCTGACTGGTTAAATCCAGCCAAGCTTTCCCTTTACTATCAGATCAACGCCACCTCCCCCTGGGTGAGAGACCTCTGTGGACAGAGGACCACTGATGCCTGTGAGCAGCTCTGCGACCAAGAGACAGGTAGGTGAGGCCTGAGAACAATGAAGACCTTAAAAATCTGGGACGTGCAAGTGAGGGTGCAAGGTTGATCAGTATTTTGATGCATGCTTGCTTTACCTCTACTTTAGGCTCGTGCTAGGCAGAGGACTAGAAGGTACCCCAGGAGTGTCATATGGTGGTGACCCCCATCAGCAAGGTATTAAGAAGGTGCACACCAGGAGGGGGATTAGACATAGTTGACCTATTGGTTCTTTGCCAGGGCTGGAAGGACTGCAGGTACATGGAGTTTAGCTACTTCTAAGCTGCACTATCTCACTGTCCAGGCTGGAAAATTTAATTGTGTGTTTAGCCCTGTTTCCTTCCCCTTCTTTTTTATTTTTTTAACTATTGCACTGCAGAACGCGACGTTTTTTTGTTACTACTTCTGCCTGACGTGACCTAGGTTTGCTCTCTCCTCTAGACTTTCCTTGTGGAGTTTCAAGGTTTGTTGTCTTTGGTAGCATAAATGACCTTTCTGCTGTGCATGCACTGCTTACACATAAAAGCAATAGCCTGTGAAGCAGCAGCAAGTTGTGACGGGTCTCTCGAGACATGGGGTCAGGCAAAGGCTTCCCTTCTCGTCTGTGCTCTCCTGATACTCTGTGGGAGCTACAGACACCTGCACTTTTGCTGTGTCCCAGCACTACACAAGTTGTGCTTTGAGAAACCTGGCTCTGATGTCTGCAATGGAATGCAGGAATGCAGAAGACAAGCRATGGAAGATTAGGGCTAGGTATAGAGTGGGAAATACATCTGTGAATAGATGTACAATCCCCAGCTCAACATTTCTTGTGAGGTGACATCTCATCTGTGCAGATAACAAGGTGTATGAAGGTGGCTCTGCTTCCCATGGCCTTCCCACCAGATGCCTTCTTCAGGGAGTGAAGTGATCCTGTTGCTCTTGGCATCTGAAGAACACGCAAGTGGTCCTGACTCCTTGCAGAGAAGTGTATATCAAACTAACTCCTGGGTCTCTGTGAGGGCCACTTCCCTCCTCCTCCTCCTTCCCTACTATCTTTCTGTGTGAGACTTTCTGGTTGCTAGAAGAGACATTGGTTTTGCCAGTAGATTTGAAGAGGGACAGCTCACCAAGAAGGCGGCTCCATCCTGCCATGGGCTGTACTCCTAATACACAGTGACCTGAGAGAAAGAAATCCTCCTGAACCGTGAGCTGTGAACCATGAATAAGGTGTGGACTGGGCATAAACTCCATCCGTTCTCATCCATCCCATCCACACCTGAGATGAAGATACCATGTGCATTGTCATATCTTCACTTTCCCAATCAAGACAACATTCCCCTTTCAGTAGACTGGTTTCTCGAGGCTTGTCTGCGTGGAGACACTGACAGGCACAACTGAAGCCGAATAACCGTTCTAGCTGCATTCCCCAGGTAGACAAGWCCTCAGTATTGCCTACGATCGCCAGAAGGGCTGGGCAGTGGGGAGCAGCCACCCGAGCAGATGGAGATGGTTCAGGGAGAARGCTTTTCTCTTCCAGATGTCCTGATGCTGAAGAATACTTTTAGGCATCTGTGAAACTTGGCAGTCTCTGAGGGAGAGGGAAGATGAGTTCACCGATCCCTGCTTCAGAAGAGAAAAGAAAAAGAATCTGTCTACAGTTGAAACCAGGGTGGGGCTGTATGGAGGTAAAACCTGATTTCCCAATTGGAATGAGCCCTGCAGCTCTGTTTGTACGCCCCATGCCATYCGTGGCATCAGAGAGGGCTAGTGTAATTCTCACGCAATCTTTGTTCTTTTAAAACTGTTGTTTTGCCCCATTTGCCCAACTGCTGCTTCCTGTGTGCCTCTTACTTGCTGGAGCAAGTTGTTTCCGCTGCTGGATGCCCCATGCTTGAGTAGRATGTGTCAGATCTTGTTTACAGTGTTCCTTATCCCAGGAGATGCTCTGCACAGCATCCTATCTGTGCTGTATCCTGACCTCGCCTGCTGCTTTATAGCTCCTTTCTTGTTCTCTCTGCTGCACCCGGTGCATTGGGGTAGATGCCCAAGGCAGTGACGACTCAGCCTGTTGCTGCARTCTGCCGCATCCTTGACATCTCTGGGACAGCAGTCACCAAATAGCAAGGGAGCAGTCCTAGCTCTGGAGGTGCTGGAGCAGCAGGACAAGGCAGGCAGCTGAGCTCAACCGTGGCATGTTGCAGTGTGCGATTCCTCCCCCGGGCCTTGTACGAGCTGCTTTGAGTCTGCTCTTCCTTCAGCACAGCGGGCAGAGCTCYGGGCAGAGCAGCCGGGACCTGAACTGGCAGGTGCCCCAGCTGAAACATGTAAATCGGAATTTGTAAATCAGCTTTTTCCCTCCTCCTTCCTTGAAATTTGCACATAGGTAAAGAAAAATTGTTGTCCCTTCTATGCCAGCTGCTTCCTCAGAGGTAGAGTAGCACAGGCTGGTGGGACCACTGCTTTTCAGAGCCTAGCTCTGAGACTCCTTTAATGGTGTCCAAACTTTGTGAAGAACTGAGCAACTACCCACTGAAAATTAAGCCTTTCGAAGTGCCTACTTGACACCCTACCTTATCCCAGGAGTTTTACAGSCTCTGTGAGCATCCCAGCTGATGGATCCTGGGAGTTTCCCCTGCCCTCAGTTCCCTCTGGGCTGGGTGAAGTAGCCAGGAGAAGGAACCCAACAGAAAGTGGTGCTTGAAGATTCAACCAAAGCAAACAGGCAAAGTACCTCATCAGCCCTGGGCTGACCTGTGGTTGCACAGAGTACAGGGCTCTTCATGTATGAGGAACAAGTGCCCTGTACTTGTCACTGCAGTGTCAATACCGCCTTGTCCCAAAGCTTCCTTGCTGTAACTCTTCAAATAGACCTCTTCCACTTGTGGAAGTCAGAGGAAGACTTGAGGAGGAGCCTTTCTCTGTGGCAGTGCCACAGCTCATAGCACAGATGTTCAGAGGGCACCAGTTCACTTAGGCACTGCCTGCTGTGACTCAGCTCTTCTTCCTCCTAGGGCTGAAGGCTCTTGTGGGGTTTCCTTTCGTATAGCATCTGTCTTTGATGGGCTAATTCATGACTCAAGTCACCAAGTACTGTTTCAAAGTGAATTATAATCTGCACTGAAAACTGCAGTTCTGAAATGCTAGGAAATGTCAAAATATGTTGTGCTTTCRTGACCTTAACTTGCCTTCCCTCGTGTTTTGGCAGTGTGACTCATTCTTTAATTAAATGATTGCTGCCCCCTGACAAATTTCAGCCCTATCTTGCAAAGTGCGAGCTCATCAGAGCTTTTCAATGACAGCACAGCCATCCACTCGTGAGCAAAATACAATTAGTCACCTCCTCCTCAGAAAAGTCCCAGCCATTTTGTCTGGAATGACTGCTGATAAATAAATAGCTTCTGCTGAGGGTCCTCGCCTCCCATCTGTGGACATTATATGACAAGTGTGGTGACTGTGCCCCTGTTTGCCTGCACCTTGCTGTCTTTGCTCAGCTTGGATGAGCCAGGCACCTRGTCTGGATCAGGCTGTGGTCTGTTGTGCAGTGAAGCTGGGGTAGAACAGAGCTGTTCCTCCGTTGGAGAATTTCTGCCAGAGCACCCTGTCTTGCTGGCAAGTTCTGAAATGATGGGGCAAGTCCAGATGGGGCTGTTTAAACTGAGCATAGGGAAAGCTTGTCATCTCCTGTGGCTGAGCATCAACTCTCTTTGCTCTCTGTTCTTTCCAGGGATGTTGAGTACATTTCTAGCACTTCTGTTTGTGCCACGCATGGGGTTACCCGCTCGTWAAAGTGGGGAGTGCTGCTTTTTCACTGGCCCCTCTCCTCGGCGCTGGGAATGGTTATGAGGGCATCCACTTGTGGTGGCATATGCAAAGTCTGATTTGTGAGCACAATTACCTGCTTTGTATGCACAAAATTGATTCACTTGCACATTCTGTGGGCATAGCTTAAGAGGCCTGCTGGAGAATTGGTCCCTCAGGGCCAAATGCTGGAAAAAAACAGCCTCTGATTTTGTGCTGTCAGGCTTGCCAGAACAGTGGCATAAATGAGATGGATAGCTACCTTGATTAGCAGGTGCAAATGCACTAGGGTTTTTTTCACCGTCCATAAATCAGACACTTATCCATCGAAATTCTCTCCTTTGCATTTGCAATTGGTTCCACCCACAGAACAATAGGGACATACTTGTAAGAAGCGAATGAGRGGTGGAAACAAAGGGTCTTTTCTGGAAATTGGCAGAACCTCCCCCCCAGTATTTCCATCATTTTCAAACRGATAGTTTGTTACCAGAGTCACAGATGGTATTCCTGTCCTGGTAAGCAGGGGTCTTGCAAGCAGGAGAGAGATGTAAGTCATTTTTAAGCATATCCAATTTTTAAGGGTGCTTGTTAAGAGATTTGCAGGTCGCATGACTGAACATTTAAATTGGGAGATAACCAACCTTGGTAAGGGTGTATTTGTGTGCATGAAAACATACTTTTTTTTTTTTTTTTTTTCCAGAGAGTTCAATTAAGTATCACGCAGCTTTTGTGCACATGAAGTGATATTTGTTTGTTGCTGTGAACTTCTGCTATTCTCACTGTTGGAACAGCCCAGTGTCTTTATTGAGTTAGACTTTTATAAGATGAGCTCCTGTCTCTCTAAGGTATGCAGTTTAATAACTTGGTCAAAAACCATGTAATATACGATTTCTTTTCATGAGGTGGCACAGCTTGCCTTACGTATCAAGCAGAGCAGGAGGCAGTTAACTCCCAAGCTAATTTAGCTTCRGGCTGAAGTGTTATACATAAACAGCCATCAAAATGTATGCCTGCAAGAGGGCTGAGTTAAGGTTATCTGYGCTGTCTTTACACTCTCATTTTCTGCCATTAGAGTGTTTAATCCTGCAGCTGCTAATGTTCTTGTAATGGCATTTCTAAGCTTGTCTAAAGACCACGGAGAGGAGGGAGGAGAGATGAGGTCTGTGGTGTGGAACCACTCCTGGGTCCAGCTCACCTGCTCGGCCCATCTGTGCATCCCATC